ACATTTGTATAAAAACTTATTTTAAAAAAGTCATTTTGCATTTATTTATTAATACAGTATTTAAAAAAAATTGCATTTATGGAATATTTTTTCGAAATGGTATAATTATACTTCATTAATATGAGTTGTTTAGTTGGTAAAATGTAGCTTTACACATCATAAGAGAATCATTGTAATATTTTGTGGTACTTATACGTATTATCGCAACCTATTTGCAACATTATTTGAAACGAAGCATATGGATGCCAATTCAGCACATACGACATATAGGAAATCAGGGTTGCCAACTTGTCGAGTTATTAATAGAGTTGGTGATTGTTGCGATAATACGTAAGTACCTATTTTGTCTGTATCAATCAGTTTAATATTATTAAATTTTAAATCATGTAACATTTTATAGCACATTTTCAGTGTTTAATCAAATTTGAGATGAAATGTGCTGAATCATTTTAACCCTCGCGCTGCATAGTGCTCCGTCTACTACATGTACTTTGTCCGTGGAAATCACAGGATGCGCAGCGAGAGGATTAAACCTCATTTTGGTTTCATATTTTATCTTAAAATACAGTTTAAAAAATATTGGTTATAAGGATGGTTAAAGTGGGGAATATGGTGCCCGTTGGTGAAGCCATTTTTTTTGGTGACCAGAATCAGTCACCAAACTATCAATATGTAGGGATAGGTATTCCAAGAGTAATGAAGCAGAGCCAAATTCATTTTGGCATCTAGATAAACATTTACAGATCCAGGGAGCCCCCTATTCTACACTTTAACTGTAGGGACTATGAATCCTAACACATGGTAATGCTCAGAAACACCAAATTCTGTTCTATCATTGTATTTGTAGTAAACCTATCTAACTGGATAATATTGTTAATGTTTGTGTTGGCAATTTTCCATAAAAGCAGTCGCTAACTGATGGACCTGAGAACTCATAAGTACTTTTAGAAACATCTTGCATAATTATGTGAAAGTTATTGTTTCTCTGTTAAAACATTCTCATATATTCAGAGATTTTCAAGGTTTTTATGTAATGCTTTTGAAAACAACTGTTAAATAAAATTATTAAAAGTTTATTTTAAGTAAATACATACATACATATATATATATATGTTACCTCACATATCCATATTTGGTTTAGTTCCTTATTTAGGTACTTGCATATTAATGTCACCACAGCCAAATTAGTGCCACGTGAATCGGGCCATTTTCCACCAAAATCTGACTGATTGGTATTCTTTCATATAAAACATGTTAGAATTTTTGTTGTTTTGATATCAAGGTGTGATTCTTGTGGCTCCAATTTTGCCGTGGTGACATTAATACGCAAGTACCTTTATTTGTTGTAATTGGTTTAGTAGGCCTATGTGTTCTTTTGCTTTCTATTGTTCTTTGATGTTTTTATGTATTTATGATGATTATTTGTTATTATTTCTAAATATATGGAATGGTGTTTAATTTTGTTTTTTATCCATGTTGCACAGTTAGTCAATAATTATTAATGCTATATGATCCTAAGCAACATTGTTTATTCAATGTAGCCTGCATTTTATACAATATATGTGTAAAAATAACAATTTTATCTTATAAATGAAAGATAAAGTGAACAGATGGCAGAAAACTTTTTACTCTTAATTATAATTAATACATTATGTTCTTAAATTTATAAGTTAAACTCTATCATAAATAAACAACTAATTCATAGTTGCCCAATGATATATTTCTAATATCTGAGTGTTCAACTCAAAATTTTAAGAAATCATCATCTTCCTTCTTATGATAAAGTAATTTTGGTTGTAATAAAGAAACGTTCGTAAGTAATTAGATTTTTTTACTAATTCATACCATTGAAATTTATCTGTCATGCATAAAATTTCTGGGAAACAATGTTGTGTACTTATTAAGATACTTACGTATTAGTGTCACCACAGCCAAATTTGCACTGTGTGAATTGCCACCATTTTCCACCAAAATCTGATTATTGATTGGTTTTTTTAAAAAAATATAACATGCAAGAATCTTTTCATTTGTTGTTGATATCATGGTGTGATTCACATGGCACAAATTTGGCTGCTAGGACGTTAATACGTCTGCACTCTTATTGGAAACAAGATATATGGGCTGATGCAGTGATGTAAGCAAGAGTGTGGTTTTGCGGGTTCACCCTTCTCCCTTGCATCACAAGGTTTTTAATTTTTAGCATAAAAATAACACCTTGAAGTTTTTATCTACTTGTTTCTTAAAATGTATACCCCTCTTATTAAAGCCCTTTGGGGTGGCGTTTGCTTTTCTGAAATGTTGCCTATAGGAACATTGGCAATATTATCCAATAAGATGTATTCATTACAAACACAATGATTGAACACAATTTGGCATGTTTTTTATGTGTTTCATATTTGGGTTCATGGTCCCTAAGACTTAGTACCCTGTTTTGGTAAAAAGAATAATTTTTTTAAGGTTATGACATGAGCATTTTCACTAATTGCGTAATATATGGAACCTTTAATTTATAAGGTAAATTTTGAATAATGCACTATCATACATTATATTTTAGTGATTAATATACATAATAGATTGATACTTTATGCCTTTTTTGTACTGAACCTGTTTCATAATTGATAAAATTCAGTTATATGCATTATATTACATTTTTTTTTCTATTTTTAGGTGGAGTGTTTAGAAAGCTGTGGAAAAAATTTATATATTGGGACTCAAGAATGGTCTGTTCAGTTTTATTTATATTCTTGGTGTTTTTTAGATATATCAAGTACATTTTTGTACTTGAATATACCTACTACACGTTATCTTGTAATTTTTATTTAGTACTGTATGTATTTTTGGTTATTTTAGTAGTATAAGGATTATGAAATAACTCTTTATGTGCAAAAATTCCTTTTTTTAATATTTGCAAATACAAGAAGTTCATTTTGTTTTAAACAAGAAACATTATTTATTACTCAAATTTAGACAATATTCTTCCTCCTTTTCTATGAATTTTACCTGTAATCTCTCCTGTATATTCCTTTCTCAGACTATCTGATATGAGTACAAAACATTTGTGTAGGTTTGTTTCAATTTTATGTTTTGTTAAAAATCTGCACAATCAAAAAATTTGTCATACCTCCCAACTTGTATTTCAGCAAAACTAATTCTACTCATGACATTTATGCATGATAGTTACTTTAAGAAATGTAACTGTTTGAAAAAATGAATTTAAGAATTAATTACTGTGTGGTAAGTTATGTCAATAATTTAAGACATTTTTATGACAAATCCTGAATAAAAATTATTCATTTCATAATTTTATTTGAATATGTATGAAAATTCTTTTTAATTTAATGAAAAGTATTTAATTAGGTAAAATGAAAATGAAAGGATGCTATAATTAGCACCAAAAGTGTTCAGTGGAAAATTGCATTTTAAAGTTGAATATGTATGACTGTTTTTTATTACACTACGCTGTGAAATCTATTAAGAAAAATATCCTGATTACATATTATCTATGCTACTCTTTCTTGTGCAGTGCCTATAAATCAAAGTTTGCTGGAGCCAATGATAATCACTTCTGAAATGTTCTAATTAAAGTATGTGTGCTGCTGATATATGTGCCAGCTGGGTGACATAGTTGATTTGGTGTTGGCCTTGTATACCCAAGTTTGAGGGTTCAATCCGGCCCAAGTCAGTTGATTTTCATGATGCAGAAAATCGACAGTGTTTATGTTGTATAATTATATGGCATGTTAAAGATCCCTAAAGTGCCTGTATGGCTTGGGTACTCTTGGTAAAATTAAATTCCTGGTACGATTTTACATGTCAGAGCTCAGAGGCCACCCTCTGGGGGGAGGGGGGACTGGGCATCAAAATTGCACTGCCACAATTAGTATCCATCTATATGCAGCTGCTCTTAAAAATGATATCAGCTACTGGGGAATGTACTGGGTTTTGCAATTATAAAATACCAATCCATAACCCCATTTAGAAAAAAAAATCACATTATCTATTATTTATTGTGCTATTTTTGTGTAAAAATGTTTTTATTCTTGCTTTAATTTATATTGTCACTTTAAGGCATTGACTAAATATAAATTTTATATATTGGCCTGAATTTGTTTTTTTTCTTTCAGTTTTGTTATTCATTATGTGTTAGAAGAAAAACAATATCTAGAGGGAACAATAATATTTGATTCTACAAAGCAAAATCAGAAGTACCTGGATATTGTAAGCTTTGTTTAACATTTTTATATTTTAAGATCTTAACTTTCATTTTTTATATGATATTTGTTTGGGAAATTAATATGATTAATTAATGATAATTTATATAATCAATAAATGTTTATTGATATCAGTAGCTATCATTAACATTAATCTATATATTCCTATGTTTCATTTTTATCTTTATAATTTCCATTAATTAAGTTGTTAACAGGACTGAAAACTCTTGATTCAGAAATACAACAATTTTATTTTATAAATAAAGCATTAAATGAGTGCCAGCAGCTTTATGGATTTAAACATTTACTAGCAACGGAGGAGCAGCAAATAATAGAATGTCATAAACTCTTTCCAAACAAAAAACTTTTGCAATAATGTAATAGATAAACTTTTTGTCAATGATTTTGATGTATGACATGACAGAAAATAATTATTTTACATAACAGACATTAAAATTAGAAAGAAGAGTTAAGCATACTGTATGTGATGAAAAACAAATGAACAAGTAATACATAAAAAAAAGTCAATTCGTACTTAGGTCAACAAATTTTTTTTTTATTTTAGTTACTTTTTATTAAATAATTATAATTAATATAAATATGTATATACGTATGACAGAATCACAATATTAAGAGACAAAATAGAAATTGATTTTCCTTGCAATTTTCCATTTTCCTTTCTATATATGGTGTTGAACTATTTTTTTTGTTACTATTTAGTTGTTAATTAAATTTATTCTAATATAGTAGTATAGTAAAAAAAGAAATCACATTCTCTAGAAATTAGGCCATTCCAGGTGAGATTCGAACCCACAACCTTTGGATTAGAAGTCCAATGCGCTATTTGTTGCGCTACAGGGACACAAAAAGCGATTTTCCTTTTTATATATAATGCTGAACTATTATTTTTGTTTGTTACTGTTCATTCATTAATTAAATAGAATTAATGTATTTTTCTGTGAAAAACTGTTTTAACATCAAGTGTCATTCTCTACGAGTTTGAAAAAATGTATTTAAACTTGAGTGGATGAATAAAAAGTATTTTATTAATGATTGCAAATTTGAGCAAGATATGTATAAATAAATATGTATTGGGAGAGTGTGAACTAATAGTAGGAATTGAAAAAAAAATGCTTTATAATGCAAATACAATTTATTCCAAATCTAGTCCCATTCTGTCAAAATTAATCTTGATATGATGGATTTTTGTGATTGGTCTTTTTAAGTAAATATTTGCTGATCTTATTTTTACAACTTTTATAATATTATCATTTCCTGGATGTACTTCAAATACATGCCTTGGGGACCACATCAGGAGGCATATTTTCCTCCTTAATCATTACAGTATCACCAACAAGAAGATTACCTAAACTCTGTTTTCACTTATACATTTGTTGTAAAGATTTTGAGTACTCTTTGTGGAATCTTTCCCAGATTCATTTGTCAGTTTCATATGTTAGAACAATTTCCCTGGCTTTAATGAATGTATTTTCAAATTTAGATAATCTGTATTATGATAAATGAAATTACATTTTCCATGAAAAATATGATTGTATTAAAATATTTTAATTTGATACATCTGAATGATTAATTTTTTCTAAATGGCATGTGTGAGTTAATGATTACTTCAGCTTGATTTAATGGACTTGAAATCTAGTATTTTTATGACATTAGTATTTTTTTTATTAACTATTCTTTCAGGGGAAATGTTATAGAGTTGATTTTTGATTATCAAAGTGCTCCAACTGTCATGTTCTTTAATGATTCATTGAGAATCTTATCTTGTATAAAGAACTATTTACTTATGCATAATTATCACATTAAAAAATTACCTGCACGGGTTCATTGCCATCTACATTCTATACACAGAACAACAACAAACATGTATATCAAGTCAAAGTAGTAGTTCATATGTTCAGTTAAAGTTACAGTAAATGCAGTGTTATTCCAATGCAAAATAAATATTAACTTATTATAACAGGTATTTAACACCAATCTGAGATGAAAGAATCATTTTGTATTCAATCGCTGATTGAGATATATATTTTAAAATAAATTAACTCGAATGAATGAAAAATATAAATGCATGTAAATTGGATAATTTTATTTTAGCACCAATGAAATTTGTCCCATCATTAGAAAACAAGCACCTAGGCATACCTCTTCTGGATACAAATAATCTGAAAACAACATTAGATGTGTGCCATAAAATCATTTACTGCGTTAATAACAAAAACTTTAGTAAGCAAGTGTGGAAATAAAGGAATGTAACATTTAGAATTTTTTCAGCCTTAACTTAGTTGAGTTTCACTATTTCTGGACCTGCATAGTCAATTCGGTACCTATGTATCATCACAACAATCGCCAATTCTATCAATAACTCATCAAGTTGGCAACTCTGATTTCCTAGGTGTCGTACACACTGAATTCGCATCCATGTGCTTCGTTTCTTATAACCTCGCCATAAATACCATTAAGTCTACAAATAAAAAATGATCTTACTAGAGTAACTCATAAGTTAACTTTATGCTTCGCACAATATGTTTCAACAGGACTTGGTGCCAAATATTTATATCAAACCAATCATTAAAAGTAATTCTTTGGCAGAGTAAATTTCCCATTAATTGATTATTACATGCTGCATTAAATATGTAGCACACAATACAATTATAAACAATTTTTCATATAAGATACTTCTACATGAAAAATATCTTCAAAGATGACAATGCACTCTAAAAACACCTTTAAAATTCAAAAAAAGATACAGTGATGCAATGGAACAGTTTTGTCATAACAAACTTACAATTTTTAAGTCTTAATGTCAGCTTGAAATAAATTGTACTGATCTCTGAAACTGTCTTTCCTTCGTATTCAAAAGGGAGCAGCAAAATTTCAAAAGGAGCGTTATCAGCTGAAGTGACACCTCATTTGCTTCTAAAATTGAATCTTAAAGAGGTAGAAATTATGTCAGTTACATTGTTAATTATAAAGAAAGATGAAATACTTTCAAATGAAGTATTAAACAATACTTCAACTTGTAACAATAGGTATGATGAAGTTAAATGGAGATTTTGGTTGCATTTAACTAGGGCATTTTCATTAATGTTAAATGATGTTTACTTTTGTTGTACTTTTTTACTGTTTACTTTTTCACAGGAAATTAAAATTATTGTAACTGTAAAAGTGATGTAATATTTGTTCTAATTAAAGAACAAATAGAATATGTTGATTGCTTTCAGTTATTTCATTTATAAAACTGTGATTTTATCAATAATTCTTATTTCCATTTTAAATTTAGAAAAAACCAATAACTTTACTGAAAGCTCTATCTGCTTTGAATCGAATTCTCCTTCTCTGTGATGGAAATCTTATTGTGCTCAATATGTTTGATTTGGAGGTATTATATTTTTTAATATGAATATATATTATTTACTTTTGAATGAATGTATTCTTATTATAAATTTTCTATATGTTTAGAAGAATAATTTAATTTATAGCATGTGGAATTTAATATTACATTGTTTTATTGTATTTAATTTTTATGACTGTAGAGAGCTCTTAAACTTTCTTTTCAATGTCTTAGATTGTGATGTAAAACATAAGGCTACATCAGACAAATTTGTTGGGATTGTTTAATAGTGATGCTAAAAAAACAAGCTTATTATCTTAAAGTAAACTGATTCAGCAATAATTATTCATAACTTTCTTTAAAAGAGTTTCCGCCAACTAGAAAATTCCAAATGCTAATTATGAAACAAACAAAAATATTGTTTATTCAAAAAACAAGCAAAGCACCATACATATATATATTTTTAACATTCAAAAACAATTAAAATGTTTAAGAAATTTTTTTTGTGTGTGATAACTTTTATCTCAATTTGTTATACGTAACTAATTACAAATAATGTTAAAATCATGTGTATTAATAGATTTATCTGAAAATTGGCAAATGTTATGTGTCGGTATAAAATTCTTATGTGCACATATTACAGTGGAATCAATTCTTTGAAAAGAGATGTAACTTTGTAAAAGATAGTAAAAATCTTGAGAAGCCCAATGACCAAGTGATAGTGTATTGCACTTCCATGCCGCAGATCCAGGATTCAAAACCTGGCCTGGGCAAAGTCAACTCTACCTTTCATCCCTTCAATGGGTCAATAAAATGAGTATCAAGCTTGCTTGGGAACTAAACACTAGAGGTTTTGTGCCAGACCGACCACCTGACCAGAGCATCTGCCCATGCACCTCAGTGCTCAAGGTCATATAAACAGAAATGGGCAGAATAGGCAATGGGCTTTTGTACCATTGAGTTTAGTTTAGTTTTAGTGAAAATCTTTTTATGACATAAATTTTAAATTAAGTGGGTATAATATTTATACCATCCACTAATTCTGTCAATCGAAAAATGTTGTCAAGTGCAACAATATACAGCCTATAGTGGGAAACCATTGTGCTCAAACATAATAATCTTCATCATGCATGCTTGAAAACAATTACTTTGTTTTTAATTTGTAAAATTCTTCTTTTATTTTATTGTAAAAAAAAAGAATTAAAATTTGTGATCAGTTTTCTACATAAGCTAATGCAGTGGAGTACTTCCAAAAATACTCATCTGCACTGACTTGAGGCCATCAACCACCCTACTTGTTCCCTCTGCTGCGGTGACATCATAATGACCATGGACCCCCTCTTTTTTTCCCAGTCCTGAAAGCTAGCTCTATTTTCTCTCATCGGGAGGAAAGAAAACTCTTATTTTGTTAAACCTTAATTCATTATTTTTCTTTTGTGGTTATGTATGAATTGTTTGATTTTTACTTGTGTCATATATCTTTTGTTTTGTGTATCCCAGCAAAAGAATTGTGTTCATTCTTGCTTGCTGTATTGGAAATTAAAAAAAAAAAATTAAAAAATTCTAAAACTATGTTCTGATATGTAAATACTCTAAAAGACTGTTTGTATTAGCAAATTGGTAAAATAAGAAACATTATGGAATTGTTTGCCTATATTTAAATTCATGCTTATGCAAACTTATGTGGCATCAGCATAAAGAAGATTCATTTGGCGCTATTTTGAATACAATTTTAGCGTTCTGCCACCTGGATAATGTAGTTGGTATTAAATCTTTCATTTATTTCAAGTGTACATGCTTTTTTAGTATAGTATTTAATTTTTCTAAATTGTCAATGGGCTGAGACATGGAAGGAGCTTGCTCTTGAATTTGTTTTTGTGTATATTTCAAAACAGTCACAGCTTTTGATATTTTTTGATTTAGCAAAATTGATATAATATGCAAGTACTTTAAAAGCCATGTAATTTCTCAATATCAATTTAAAAATATTAGTTATGTCATATGTAGCTCTTGGAAATTAGAAAACAAAGATGGCAGGTTTACTAAATATCAGGAAAGGCTCTTAGATTTCCATTGTTATGGAAAAATGTAAACTATTGCACTTCCAATGTTTTCTATTCTTTTCAAAAAAGACTGGGAGTATATTGTATTTTCTATGCAAGTTATAATATTTTATTTATAAGCATTCTGAAAAAACATAATTTTTTGAATTAATTATTTAAATGTATTCAAATTTTCTAAATACTGTGTTACATTTACTGAGCTTAAAAATTCAGTTTTTTTTAAATAAATTAATTTTGGTACTGAATATTTTTTTTATAAATTGACAAATTATAATTTTATGTTATCTTAGCATTGGAACTAAGTTAATATTTTTCTTTTTTTGCACACTTTTTAAAAATCTTGTTGCAATATTTAAAAATCATATCTAGAACAATGGAATACTATAAAACATAACTATATTAAATTATTTGAAATTATCTAATAATGATTTTGTTATCTATTTTGATAAT